GATTCCAGTTCTTTGGGCTCTAATACCGTGAAAGACCAGGATGGTGCCCCCACTCTCACCTCCCAGCCACCCATTAAAAAACTTTACCTGGGGGACCTAATCCCCCCCTTCTGATGCATTATTTTTCAGCATCAGGAGAGTTCTCTGGAGGCCCTTCAAGTAAGTTTGGGGGGAGAGGGAAATGGAGGCGGAGGGGGGGAGTCTGGATATTTTCCCATGTCAACCTCTGATTGACACAGAAAGGCATGTAGCCCAGAGTTGTGGGATGGTGTGTGGCCTTAATCCCGGGAGGAACAGGGTTTAAATAGTCGAGCTCCTCCGGAGATGTATGCCTGTCTGAAAAGGCCCTTAGTCCCTCCTGCCCCTTTCTCACCAGTATTTCTCCACCACCAGAAAATTCTTCTCTTGTAGTTTTCATACATACCTAGCGGTCCTCTCTTTACATTTGGTGGGAGGAAATTTGCCACATTCCCCCAAAATATTCCAAAGAGGCCCCTGTATAGAGAAGCGAGCCTTCAACCTCCTATTTCAAACATTGCCTATGTAAATTCCAATATTTTGGACTTGGCAAATGATAAAATTTTAACAATTTGATAGTAATTTCTAACAATATGAATGATCAGAAACTGATAGTCCTGCCATACACTTGTATTTTAATATGCTTGTGGGAATAAAAATGAAATATTGTGAAAATTGTGATAGCATGGGAAAAGAGCTGGGATTTAGGAGAGATTGTGAATAAAAGTATTTGCAATGTATTGACTGAGAAGGTCAATACATTGCAAATGGTGTATACCTTGTATTGTTGTTCTGATGAATAATATAGTGATGTATAATTAATAAATGCATGGATTGAGTCAATTTATCAATTGAAAAGCAGGATAAAAATTATGTACATAAATAAATAAAAGGCAGTTAACATTGTGGCATACTCAGGCAAGTGAGGCAGAGCTCACTACCTCTGGGACCCCTGCTGTTGTTGTTGTATAACCATTTTCTTACCCATAGAATTGGGGACTGAGAGATACTATGCTGGTGGTAGATTGCTGAATACGTAGTTGTTTTAGGGTTGTGACAGCATAATTAAGGTGGCAGGACTAAATAGTCTGGGCTTGCAAGTTAAAAACATTATTACAATTTTTGTTGTCATTGCCACTAGCAAGTGGGTGTGTAGAATGCAAAAGGAACAGCAAGGCAATGTTCCAGGCATTGCTGCCGATGCTACCATGACCATCATGGGAAAGTATCTTCCACCTCTAAGCTAGTTGAGATAAGGGGCATAGGCATGCCAGTCTTCACAAAGTTTCTTCCCAAAGGTGGCAACTAGTCATTTCAGCACTTTCCTTCCCACTGTGAGAAAATCACACAATTTTTACAATCCAGGATTTATTATTCTGCATAAAATACACAAATTGATGTTTAGTACAGAAAACAGCATTTCTGCGGAAAGTGTTGTGTTGTGCTAATTAATCATGTGCAATTTTTAAAAGCAGAAAACACCTCCAATTGCAGCATTATCTGCACAGAAATTAATCTGCTTAGAAATATTATTTTTCATGCAGGAAAGGCTTTTCCCAATGCAGAAAATTGTATTTTCTTTGTACAGAATTTTGTACAGAATAAATCCTGAATTGTGAAGATTCTCATTAATCCACAACTTTTCTTAAAGTCTCTTGACACTAAAAAAAACCATGTTTAGACCATTTTTTAATATTTTAAATATTATTTTCCAGGCTTAAAGGAGGACCAAGAAAAATACAGAGTTTTAAAATGTTAGTTTCGCAGTTCCTAGAACCTATGTATGTGGCCTAAGGTATACAGGAAATTATTATTATTATTATTATTATTATTATTATTATTAACTTTATTTGTACCCCACAAACATCTCCCGAAGGACTCGGTGCGGCTTACAAAGGCCAAGGCCCTCAATAAGACAACAACATAACAAATACAAACAATAAAACTCAAAAAGCAAACCAATAAACATTAAAGCAGTAACAGTAGAACAATAAAACAATACATCATAACACATTAAAACAAGGGCCAGACCAAATGTAATGGATAAAGTTAAAAGCTGGGCATGACAGGTGAAATATAAGGATTTTAGGGTAGGTGCGATGTGCAGACAATCTTAAATCTCTAGTAAAGTGTGTTTGGGACATGATGCAAGGAAATTCTAGTCCAAAACCCGCTTTTCAATATATGCTGGAAGTATATGCTACCAAATGCCTTTGCTGAAAGCCACACAATCCCTCCTTTGCAAAAGTTAAAAGAGTGCAGAGAGCACTTTCTAATATTGCCAGGAGCATGGCCCAATATATTAGAAGATCTGGGGAATCAATAGTTTATGGGCCAGATCTAGCCTATAGGACCTTTCTATCCAGTCTACAGTCTATCCAACCCCAGTCAGTTACACTCTCTCCTCATCTGCCCCATTTTCCCAATTTGGCTGCTATTTTCCCCCAGGCAGTTTTCTTCCTTTCTTTGCCATGTACTGAGAAAAGAAGCCCCTTTCTCAATCTGCAATATAGAAGAAAAGCAAGTTGCCGGAGGAAAAATTAAGAATGCTGTTCTTCCCCGGGCCATTTCTGAGTTAATGGCAGCTCAGAAACGTTCTATCCCTTTTTACCCTGCCCATCAGCCATGACTATAAGAAACACAAGTTCAGTAATCAAAGAAATCTTCAGTCTGCCTTATAGGCAAAACTGAAATTCTGGAAAAACAGAAAGCATCGGGGGTCCCTTTTTAGTGTGGGCTGACATGGAGGCTAGAAAATGCAGTGAGTCTTTACTTGGGAACATAATTTATTTCAGCCATTGTGGGCAAATATGGATGAACGGCTTTAAAAAAAACAAGATTGGCCTTCAATATAGAATATAAAAATGTTTCTAGTTTATAAATATGGAAATAGTGCAGAGGCAGCTATGACTTTTTTCCTTCTCTTTAGGATGTCTAATTCAAAAAAAAAACCTTGCTAAGACTTGCTTTACACATTCTTCATACATACATTTAGTTAGCCCACATTAAGGATACAGCTAAAGAAATACAGAGTATATGTGGTGTTATTGACCCTGTGTTGGAGAGATTATGTCTTTGGCAATCTGGAGACCAACAGAGTGTTCTTTCTTGTGGTGTTGACCTTAGCAGGAAGGCAACTGGTGCTATGATAAAACAGGTAATCTCTCAAAAACAAAGTTCCAGGAGAGGTTTGGAACTGGGGATTAAACTTCAGAACACATATTGTGTGTTATAGCAGTTAAAAGCCCCACAGAGAAGTTATTTGGATAGATTGAGGACAACCAGCTGGAAATTCACAGTTGTATTTGCAAAGACTCAAACCTTTATTGACTGTTCCAAGCTTTTGAATTTTACTTCGTAAAACTTCATTTTTAAAGTTTACCTAAAAGGATTAAAAGATGGAAAAGGTAGCTCCTATTGTAGTTGCTGAAGCAGTTATTGTCACATGGTTTTATTGCAATTGTACATTTATTATGACACTACTTATCTCTGTTGATGAGTTATTATGCACAGGGGATTCAGCATATTTTATTTTTAATTAGTCATATATTGTCATATACTGAGGCTTCTTTTTGCTGTGTGAAGACTGTCAACAGTTTGTATCAATCACTTTTCCAATATCCATTAATTCCTGTTCTCCCTTGGTGACAGAGAAATGTCTGAGGGTCAAACTAAAGGGCATACAAAACCTAATTTGGAAGACTATCTTGCATACCAAAAATGAAAGGGAGTAATTAGGACTACAATATGTATAAAGAGGAGATTTAGAACTTGTCCCTCCAGCTGTGATCCAGGTGAAATTTCACTGCCTTCCTAACATTGCTTGGAGAGACATATGAATTAATTTGGATCAGTGGGGAGATTAGTTTCCTAAATGTAATCACATAGGAGAGATTTTCATGAGGCTCACATGTGAGAAGAAAGTGGCTAAACCATCTCTTTCTGGATGTTGCAGTCCCAATGAAGGTCCCTTAACTCATACACAGCTACTTTGAAAATAAATAGAAGCATAACATGTTTTCAGATGATGTATGGAGAACCATTGCAGCTCTGAGTTCATCCTGATCTCACTTAACCTCAGTTGTTGCCTTATTTTTAAATGTTTTTGCATTGATCTTTTAAAAAATGCTACTGACTTCTCTCTTATGTTGTAATACAGTCTATTGAGAATTGATGGGCACAATCATTGTATTAAAATACCTGTGAATTTACTCACTTGAACAATAACTTATCTAATGTACCGCAATTTAATATGCTATAAACATCGTTTCTTGAACTTAAGAAACAGCTCAGTCTGCTTTAATATTTAATTATATTGGCAAGGAGCTGCATAATGAATATACGACATTAAGGAGAAATAACCAGGTGGATTCAGCAAATTTCATGTATGACGCATGCAGTGCCATTTAGGACACACTAGATAGATGCAGAATGACTCCCAGAAATATATTTCTAAGCAGTGGCTGGTGGCTTCATGTCACTAGGCAGTTAGTCTACTCGGGGTTTAATGTAGACTTTAAAGCAGTTATACAAAGTACTAATCCTATTTTTAACTGGAGTTCAGCACTTTGTATAAACTTCTAACACTGGCTAATATGGATACCAATAATTATCACTGGTCCTTACCACATCAAAAGTATTTCCTACTTCTAGAAGAACCTGCATTTTCCATAAGATTAGCTTGAATGACACTAGTGTCAATTACCTTAATGGAACAGAATTCTCTCACTGCCTGATTTCCATTGAAACTACTATGGAAAATCTGCTCCTGGCTGACATTGGATGATCCTTGGAAATGGGACTGCAGAAGTAGAGTGAATGGTCAGGAATCAGACAATTTAGGATTCAAGTGGAATGTGCATTTCAGTTGGTTTCTGGACTGAAAACAGCACCAGATATGCAAAAGATATATTGTTATCATATGAATTTTGTGGTTTTTAATCATTTTGTTCTGATATGTGTTGTGTCTAATTTTCTTCCAGTTCAACAGAAGAACAGTTTCATTGGCAAACACAAGGTAAAGTATCATGTTTATTTCAAAGGGTCATAATCTTCAAGTGTTTGTTTAGAGTAGACTATGCTTCTATCATGAGGATGCTGCATTTTCTGACCAACCAGAGTACAAGTATTGATATGCTTCCTCTGGATAGCATAATTCCCTAGATAGTACAGTCTTACTCATACAGTGTGGGTAGATGAATGTACATTTTACAAGTGTCTTACCAACTGGGTGTATTCTGTGGACTAATTTATCAGTAGGAATGCCTTGTGAATTAGCACTGTGTCCTCTTCCTAAGATCCAAAATGCACCTCCCCTGCCTAGAATGCTAATTGTTCATACCATTATTTGAATAATAAGTCAACCTCTTTGGGAAGTTACCAATTGCTTACTTTCCCTCCTATAGTGCCCTAATGAAGATTATAATACGCCAGCACAATAGACAATTGCTTTAAAAGAGTAAATATAGAATAATATCAAAGCAATCTTATACTTGTGTATTACATGGACCTGAAAAAAAATTAAAAAGAAAAGGAGGGAAATTTAACGATTAAGGTGTTGACACACTAGTATAACCAAACAATGGAGCTGACATGAGTTATATGAGAAATCAATATCAAATTCTATCAGTCTGTCCTTTATCATCCACACAGTCAAAGTTGTTTACACTCACTAATATACAGTTATTGTTGACTGTACTCCAAAATAGTCAGCTTTCTGGTAATGCCAAAATAACAATGTAACCATTTTGTGGATCATTCATTTAATAGGTCTGAAAATAAAGGTTTAGGGAGGCAGCAGTTTTCTGCCCCAGAGATTGGTGCATTGATAAAAATTACTTTCCTATAAATCCAATCCAATAATGGCCAGAAGTCTTTGTCGTCGTCTTCTTCTTCTTCTTCTTCTTCTTCTTCTTCTTTTTTGTAAAAACTTGGTTTTAAAAAAAGTGAAATCCAGAGTAGATGGTTTCCTTAGACTTTTTTAAAGCTGCAGTGGCACTTCTCGAAGGTTTCCAAAAAACAGATGGCCTTTTCTGGATAAAAGTTTGGGTGACATGCCAGTGGATTCATAGTTCATTAGATTACTTTTTTAAAAAAAAAAACACTTTTATTTACCCCAGAAGTCATTACATGTTGTGATGAAAGTAAACTAAGAGTTTTCTTTCCATAAGCTGTTTCCATTGAGGCCTACATCCTTAGTCATGGCAAATTCAAAGGACAAAATATAGCAATCTTAAAAATGGTTGTAATGTGCAACAGATAACATATTTCTAATACGCATTGTGCTTACTCATGCTGTTCCAACATTAGCCAGCATTCAGTATTCAAACAGAAACCAACACCAGCAGAAACAAGAATTTTGACCTTCCTGCTATGGTCTTTTGCAATGCCCAAAAGAAAAAGGGCTCAGAGGACTTTCAAGAGGTGTCTAAGGTAGATAAGCAGCTATAGGAAGGAATAGAGAACAGCAGTTATATGGAAAGCAATGAGATCCAGCTAGGTACATCATTAGATCCTAGCTGTAGGACTATGTTTTGTAAAACCCATTCACTTGTATTACCTGTTCATAAATACATTTTGTCATTTTTGGATGCTTTCTGATGTGTTTGGAGTTCACACACAATTTTCTTCTCAACTTCCGTGGGGAAGAAACATTCGTTTTCTGTGGCAAACAGCACACCCTTTTATTGCCATAAGAGATTCTACATGTGAATAAAATATAATGCTGAAATACAGTTTGAAAATGATGATTACTTTGCTATTATGTCTTGCACAATAAAGTACTGAAATAAACAGAAAAGCAAAATGCTTCTGACATGTAAGATAGCTGGATGTAATGGTGCATATCCAAACACTGAAATGAAGGGGTCCATTTATGCCAGTGTTTGATTGCATTCAGCAAATACAAGCACCTTCCCAGTGTAGGAGGCAGCATTTGCTTTTCTGTCGGTGCTATATGATGGCACGTCCATTGCTATTTGCCAGTTACTACTGATGTGTCTGCACTTTTCACTGAAATTCCCCAGCAATTTGCTGTTTGGCTGTAGTGCAGGAGAGAGCCCGACACACATAGACACACATGACAGATTCTGAAAACTTGCCAAAGAGAGGAGTCTTCTTCCAAAAGAAAAGAGAAGACATGGGAGAAAAAGGCTCAATTTTTGCAACAGTGCTGAATTTCAGCAACTTTGTTTTGTTTTCTTTTGTCTCATATAATAGCACTTTTTTGGTAGTGGAAAGAAGTCTTGGTGGCACCTACAAAGACTGTCAGGTGTGGAGCTCAATTTACATTACCCACACAAAAACTGACTAGATCAAGTATTTTTTAAAGCTTTACTTTAATATCTTATGCATAACTTGTAGTTTATTTTAAATGTTTAAATAATCTATCATTACAGATGGTCAGAAGGATATAGAAGATGAGCTCACAACTGGTCTTGAACTTGTGGACTCTTGTATTCGATCACTGCAAGAGTCTGGAATACTTGATCCACAGGACTATACAACTAGTGAAAGTAAGTTTCTTTTATAAAAAGTATTTCTTTGCACCCTGCCCTTAACTAAAATCCAGTCTATTCAGAAGATTTTATGCTTTTAAGATGAAAGGATACTAGGCTATTATGATGTTCACATTTCATCTTTCAATTCTGAAGCTGGTTGTGTCTGCATGTATGTGGATAACAATCTTCAAAGTGTTTGGTACTTCTTTTCACAATAGAAAAGAAAAACAGCATGGGGTTATTTTATGTGCAGGTGGTCTGTGGAGGAATATGGAAAGATGTGGAAAAGCATCGAGTATTAAAGATATTAACATTTAATGTTTAGGAACTTCTACCAGTTTGTATTGACCAGGATGTTTGACATTTTTTCCATTTTAAAATACTGAATTAAAGTTCCTGCACATGGTGTTCAGCATCCTGAAAGGGTTTGTCCCTCATAAATGTATCAACGTAGAGTTTATAGCATTGATTTCATCTTCCCCTTTCTCATCTAAAGTCACTGTTTATCACTTGTCATTTCCTACTGCCTTCATATTACCATATCATATTAATGATATTGGGTAAGTCATTCCAATAACGGCAAATCTATTTTCCCAGAATAAAGCAGAATAGCTTTGCACAATGAAATTAAATGCCTTCTCCAGCATACACTATAAAACAACATACCCACGCTCCAACCACCACCGCACAGCCCCCAATGCCACATCAGTGCCAATCCATGGAGTTCAACGTAGCCACAGCTCTAGAATAAAAGCGATCTCTCCATCTGTTTGTCCTTGTCTTTGTCACCCAGATGGCAATAATTTTAAAAAATGCCGGGTGTCATGGATCCCCAAGAATGTTCTGAGCTTTCTTAAGGCTTCAGGACCTATAAAGGTCTTCCAAAGAGGGGAGAAGGCAACCAATGACTCTGAGCAGAAGTGGTTACCCGAAGTTCACCCAAAAAAAAAGAGATTATAGGCTGCCACCAGTCAGGATAAACCTCCTGGCATATTTTCAACTGCCCAGCTGCTTGGAGAATTTCTAAAGTCTTATGCTGATAGCCTCTTCCTTCATACTATCTCAAGAAAAATCTCAACTGGAATGTACTTTAGATTCTAATCCCTAAAAAGTTGTGGAAGTACCTAAGAACACAGCAGTCCAACAACAACTCAAGAGTTGCCTATGAGCCAAATTCCTTTATAAGCAATGAAGCCAAATCTACTTATAAGAAGAAATGTGTGAGTAGTAGGGTAGAAGAGCTAATGAAAGGTGGGAAGCAAATTACACAGATATACATAATTCCCATTAAAAATGGATTTGATATAACTTGGCTAGTTGCATGTGACTGTGATTATCACAGTGACTCATGACTCAACTAATCCTCCCATGCAGATCTTTGAACACAGGCTGCACACCTTTCAGCCACTACATATGACCACCACTTGTTTTAGTAGCTCAGCCAGAAGACTCCTCCTGCCATTTTCCACATTTTCTGCTCAATAGTGAATGTGAGCAGCCAGCTATATTATTGGTAGACATCTTTTTCTTTCCACCCTCTTTGAAAACTGCCTAATAAAATGTGACAAAGTAATGTGGAGAAGCAAGCACTTGGAGAGATTCAAAAAGATAACCAAAGCCTGCTCAGCAATTCACTTAAGCTAATTAAAGTAAAGGGGAAACAGGGTACGGGAAGAATGCACAATGAAACAATATACAAAATCCTAAATCCAGTGATTCTGGCCTAAACCTGTCCTTTTAATGAAGTACTTAAAGCAGCAACTAAACTTTCATCAGGATCCTCTTTTTGGCATTCAATATAAGATCCTGCATTGGTCAAGATTTTTTTGTTGTTGTGTCAGGAGCGACTTGAGAAACTGCAAGTCGCTTCTGGTGTCAGAGAATTAGCCATATGCAAGGACTTTGCCCAGGGGACACCCAGATGTTTTGATGTTTTACCACCCTTGTCAGAGGCTTCTCTCATGTCCCCGCATGGAGAGCTGGAGCTGAGAGAGGGAGCTCATCTGCGCTCTACCCGGATTCGAACCTCCAACCTATCGGGCTTCAGTCCTGCTGGCACAAAGGTTTAACCCACTGTGCCACAGGTGGTTCCTATTGGTCAAGATGACAAGACAAGAGGGTTGTTCTTTGGGGGGGGGTAGTTTTAAGCTGTTTCTTTTGACTTTGACTCACAACAGCCATTTCTTTAACCAACAACTTGGGGTTTATGTGAACAGTAGATATTATCCAAGGAACAAGACTAATGCTTAACTTTGAGAGATTAAAAATGGGAACCAAAGGATGCCATTTCCTATGAGACCAAGAGAAGCCATGATGAATATGGCTGAAAGGTTTGCATGAAATGTACACTGCTATTCTAGTGCCTGTATGGAAGTTGACATGAGAACCTTGATAGATTATGAACTAGTCTTGTTAGATTTTGGGCAGCCATTTTCTTGAGTAACATGTTGAGTTTCAAAGCATATGTTGAATAAAGGATAGTCTGATCAATGACATCTTCAGATTTAAATTTAGAAGTTTTCCAGTGGAAAAAGACTGAGGGTCAAGGGTCAAGTATGTATAGGGACCACACACTAATAAAAGCCACTCCTTGGAAGACATGAGTTGTGGTGGCGAGATGAACTTCATTTTTGCTAATAGTCTTCTAGAATAGCCAATCAGAAAATTATTCCAGACTTGGCTCCACCTCCTTAATGCTTCCAAGTAGCTGCAATACAGTCAGGCCTTCATGGATAGGGATTCTCCATCCTCAGCTTCAACCATCCATGACTTAAAATATTCTAAAATCAATGCAAATTAACTTGATTTGCCACTTTTTATAAGGGATACCATTTTACTATGCCATTGTACATAAGCACCCAAAGTTTTTGGTATCCATGGGGGCTCCTGGAACTAAACCCCAAAAGATACCACAGACTTCCTGTATTGTGAAAAAGAGCTTGACTTTGGGATATGTTCCAACAGGGACAAGCTATTTTCCTATTGACAAACTTGTGAAGCATGGATAGACTGTTAGTTTGTTCATAATACTGAGGTTACTCATACTATCCAATACTTTTCTAGAACATCATTTCTGTCCACCAAATCAAATATGTCCTTTACATGGTGTTAATTCTGTATTTGGAAACTTTGTTACTGGCTCCAACCTCATAGACATATACATAAAAGGGCCTTCCATATATATACAGTATAAAGGGTTTCATTACTGCAACTTCATAAAATTGCTAATACCAAGCAGATAAAAATGCATGCAACATGACAAATAGGAATAATCTGGGATTATTATGATATGAATTACAGAACCCTGTTTCTATGTTATTATATAGCTCTTTCTTGGCACTCCAATGACTATTTCCCAGTGATGGGAAAGAAACTGCAGAGTATATAACTATATATTCTTCCTAAAGGACAGAGCGCAATCTTGACATGCAGGAAAGAACTTTCCCTTGTTAGAGGTTAATCACAAGACAAGGCATTTCTTCCCTGTTTTTGTTTTCATTTTTGCTATTTTCTTTATATTCCTCCCCACTTCCCTTTCCTTTTCCCTTTCTCCTTAGCTTAAAACATTTTCTAGGTAGACACCAAGGAGCCATTCATCTGGCCCAGTATCCAAACGTTTTTTCTCCAGGTCAGAGCAGAACAGAAAAACAATCAACTTTGTACCCAGTTCTCTCTGCATTCCCTTATGGGAGCCGGGCAAAGTTCCCAATAGTGTTCCTTCAAGTACAACACCCCTCCCTCTTACAGCAAAATGGGTTTTCATGGTTTAAATGGCTTGTAAAAACCGAAGCATGTTTGAAGAGGTTAATCTGAAAAGGATGAACTCTCTAAGTCAGAACAGACACAAACAATTCCTTTCAAAATAGAATGAATTTAAAGGACTCAACAAGTTTGCATGGGCTCGGGCAACTGGAGGTCAAAACAGAAGTGCCTCTGCCTCTTCCCAGCAGCTCTCTTTGTGCTTTCGGAACAGTAGGGTGCTTGGCCAACTCTGTGCCCTCTTTTTTGAGACCTATTTATTTCAAGAGAATCCAAGATGGGCACAAATAGCAAATTCTGAGCCTTTTCTGCAGAAGTGATTCATTGCTAAGTTTCTTGCTAACTCTGAATAGAAGAAAAAGGGAGCACTGCGTGCATACAGTATATGCATTGCCAGCACTATATAAATTAGTTTGTCAGTCCTTATAAATCCTTTTCTTCTTATCTCCAAATCTTATTTGTCTTTCCTGTATATATTTATTCAAAAGCAAGTTCCACCAAGTTCAGTGGGGTATATTCTCCAGTAAATATTGCAGTTATGATTAAATTCAATCTTTCTGTATCCCATTCTGCCTTGCAAGTATTATTCCAAGGAATTTTTTTTGAAAAGGGGGAAAGCTTGTTGTAAATCCTGTTTGAATCCTATGTACCCACATTTTTTATAAGGCCAACTGGCTAATCAATAAAAATTGTTGTTGTTGTTGTTGTTGTTGTTGTTGTATGTTTCAAGGACTTTTGCAAGCTGTATAGTTTTTAAAATAATAATAATTTTAAAAATGTATTTCAAAACCATAATAGAATCATAAAATTGGGAGAGACCTCAAAGGCGATCCAAGATTTCCCAGCAGCTAGCTATCCAGTCTCTGCTTAAAAACTTCCAAAGAAGAAGACCCCACCACACTCCAAGGCAGCATATTCCATTGCTGATCTTCTCTTACCATCGGGAAATTCTTCCTAATGCTCCACCTTCCAGATTAATCCTTTATATAAAAATTAGTAATAGTTAGCAGAGTATTAATTCTGCCTGAAATAACAAGACCATCTTTTGCCCGCAATGCCTGCATATCCTCATATTAATTTTTAAAAAAACATTCAACAAGAATCCCATTATGTCTGCTAGCTTTGTTATTTTTAAATTGGTTGTTTGTTTTGCTCACTTCCTCCAAACTAGGCAGTGCTGAAAACTCATCCCTCATTTGCTGTTGTGGGATTTGCAAGAAAATCTCTTTAACCATGTTAGAACTGTGGTTAAAGAG